GAACAAAAAAGCAAACAAAAACGGGACTACAACACACGATGATTGAGAAACCAGGTGTCTGTGGGGTCGTGATTTATAGTGGGAAGAAGCCCACTGCAGAAAGTTTGACAATTAAAAATTATTGAGAGGAAAAAATGGACAAAGACATTAGAACTTAGAAGCGAAGGGGAAGAAAAGCATCAGATTCAGAAGGCCCCACACAGCTAATAAAGGGCACTTCCAAAGCGAAGGGTATCCTCAAAAGCAACGAAAGAGCGTAGTGGATTGTGTTCTAATTAACCTTTAATTTTGTATTTAATGGTTTTTGTTCTTTTCCTTCAAAGAACGGTTTTCTACTGCCAACTTAATGGCTAATCCTTCTTAAAGCATCGTTTAGAGAAAGAAAAAAAAAAAAAAAGAGAATATAACCTACTAGCGTAGCTAGATTGTTTGACTTGTGTACAAATGCATACAAATGCTTGCATTGTGAAGTATGAATAATTTTGTTTATGTGGGAATGATGTTTCACGTGTAGCTAGTTAAATAAATTAAATTCTTCCTCAACTATTTCGCGAGGAACGTTTAGGYTTTGTTTACCTGCTAGAATCGGATTGATAAGGAATTGGAATGAAAATCAATTTGAACGTAATGAGCCATAATGAAATTTTTATTTTTTTGATGTTGTCTATTACAAAATTTCTGCAATTAGAATTAACAAACTCTATTGATGTTTGTTTACTAAAATAATTGGTAATTGGTAATTGGTAATTGGTAATTGGAATTGGAATTGGAATTACTAGCTAGCTAATCACAAAAATATTAACTAAACAGTTTGATGATACTATTAGTAATTCAAAAAATAATAAATTATAATTTATTGTATTACCGTTTATTGATAGTAAATATTTTTTATTATAACAATTTATTTAATATTAACAAATAATAGATAATTAAACTAAAGTTACATCAATTAAAAAACATTTTTATTAGAATGACCATTATCAGCAAAGAAGTTAGGTTTTGAATGAATCATGAAGTTCGATAGAGCCAATTTCGAATATTGGAAGATGCAGATTAATGATTACTTAACCTGCACGAACTTAGCTTTAAAAAAAYGACCAGTAGGGATGAAAGATGAAGATTGGGTAGAAACGAATGAACAGGGTAGTTGCCAGTATCAGATTGTATTTATTGATGAATGTGATGAATGTGACAAGTCTCGTGGCAAATGAAATGACGACAACAGACCTAATGAAAGCATTGGAGAATAGGTACAAAAAACACTTGGCTAATAATAAGTTATATCTCGTAWGGAGATTTTCCAACATTCGCATGGAACAAAGTACTTTTGTCAATTCCCACATAAATCAGGTCACAAATTTAATTAATCAATTGACATCTGTTAAGATTATTTTGAGTGACAAAGTGAATGCTATTTTATTGCTAACATCTTTATCTGAAAGTTCGGAAATGGTGAAGACAGCAGTGTCCAATTYGTTAGGGGACAAATCTTTGAAATATTTAGAAATTTGTGATACAGCAATTGCTTAAGAAATTCACTAAAAAAGAGAGTGGAAAAGAATCTACTTCTGAACAAGACTCAACATTGGCTGTCGAGAAAGGTAAAGAGAAGGTTGTGTTTGCTGACAGGCAGCAAAAGCATAACAGGAGSAATTGAAAGAGAGATGTTGAACGTTGTCACTGCCACAAAAATGGACACATAAGAAAAACTATAGAATATTAAAAGAGGATCTTAAAATGTATATGGCGGAGTCAAATGCAATTGTAGATAATGCCCTCGTCCGTGTTGAGAACAACACATAAATAGGAAACCAGTCATAGTGGGTAATAGACAGTGCARCTTCAGTACACATATCTTCAAATAGGACGTTGTTCACATCTTTCAAAATAGGCAATTGCGCCATATGAAGATAAAGAATGGAAGACTTTCCAAGACTAAAGGAATTGGAAATATACAATTTAAGACCAATAGTGGGACTGAGTTATTACTGCGAGATGTCAAGTATGTACCCAGTATAAKAATGAACCTTATCTCTATAGGTAAGTTGGACGATGATTGTTATCATAGTGAGTTTGGTGGAAATCAGTGGAAGCTCACCAAAGGATCCMAGTTGGTGGCAGTTGGCAATAGAAGATCTACAATTTACACGTTGCAATTGAGTGTTGCTAGACAATCGTTGAAACAACGGATGCAATTTGCAGATAGTGTCCAAAGAGGTAGGACTAAGCCAGCAACAAAGACAACCAGAATAGATCAGGAGAATCTGCCATCAATTGAGGAAGAACAATTGGGAAATAAAAGAACGAGAACAAGTTCTTTAGGTTATCAGGGATTATCGTCAATTGTCAAATGGATGRGTGAATTGATGAAGTCGAGTCAGCGAACAGTTGTATCAAAGAAGACAAACCCAGTAAGTGCTAAGGTAAATAGTACAGTTTCAATTCTGGTAGTAGGCTTGAATATAGTTGTCAAGTCATCAGTGGGAAGTTTTTTCTTCAAGAATCAAAGTTTGAGAACRAAGAAKGATGCTTCAAATCATACTGCCACTTAGTTTAAGTGGGAGCACGAAGCTGTTGTTGTAGGAAAAGACAATGCGAGCAATGATTTGCATCTGGAAGTCAAGACCACGTAGATTACCTGACCTCAAGGCAAAGACAGATGAGAACAATGATTTATGATTTTTTTTTTTACAACTTTTAAACTTGCAGGAGAAGCCTTGAAGATTTTTTCAAGAAGATTAGAAGTTGTTGTAAAAGAAGCATTGAAATTTTTAAGATTATCAGAGACTGGTGTTGCAGTGGGAGGCAAGATCGTTGTTTTGTCTCCAAGTGGGAGATTGTTGGGATAATTGAGCCAAAACAGAATACTCATGTCCTACGTGGAAAATGATTTTCAACACTACTACCAATTTCTACAATCAGTAAGATGTTATCGTCTTATTAGGATTACAATATTGTTTTCMTACWAGCAGCAAGTGTAATTCTACTCTTAAGTGCGATATATGATAGGGAAAAAGATGAAAAACTTTTCATCTCATAGAGCAAAGATCAAATTCCAAGATARAAATAGTATAAATAGTCATGAGAATAATACTGTAGGGGCGACTACATCTACATCTTCAACAAAATCTAAAACACAAGTTGGTCTAGAAGATTCATCATCTTTTACAGGAGAAATTGGATCAACTACTAGTTATGAAAGGACGGTTAAAGGAGGTAATATTTTTTTAGTTTAATTTTATTTGGTTACCCAAACTGTACAAGCTTCTTCCAAAGCATACGGCTTTCTGGATGTAGACCGCCGTCAAATCCCAGGGCTCAACCCTGGACAGGCTGTGGAAACTACCAAGCTGGAGTATTTCTAACTCACCCTTTCTTTTTTCTTTTTATTTTAGAATCTTCTTTTGTCAAGAAAAGTGCGTGGTCCCACACGCAATCTTAAACTAGTTAGATTACCTCACGGGATTAGATTTGAAGTATCRTGGAGGAACRAAAGACCTGTTGGAGATAATGCTGATATTTTCAAAAGCCAATGCACTATTTTGGCTCGACAAGTCAACTTTACACCTCTACAAGTGAAAAGTTGGAGAGATATTGACATGAMAACAAAAAGAAAACTATTTAAGCTTACATTAGTATGTGATACTTAATAGTTATTTTATTTATTTATCACTTGCTTTAATTGCCATTGTTTTTTGCCATGTAGGAGCGATTTAAAGTCGAAGGCCATGAGGCTTCTGTTTTACGTCAACTTAATCGATCTTATAATAATTAGAGAGATAGCTTGAAGAAAAAATGGTTGTACAATTATGATACAGTTGCAGAAGCTTTAGCTAATATTCMACCAGAAATTACAAGAGAAGATCTTATAATAATTATGATACAGTTGYAGAAGCTTTAGCTAATATTCCACCAGAAATTACAAGAGAAGATGCAGAATATCGTGCAAACTTGTGGAAGTCAACTGAATATCAGGTTATATTCTAAAACTTGTTTTCTTGTACRTATAAAAAGAATATGTTTATTTCTTTAAATGGTAATCATTCTCATTTTCTACTTTTGAAATATAGRAGATGTGTGAAAGGAACAAAGTGAACTGTTCTAAATTGAATGTATATCACACATGCGGTTCACAAAGTATACAACAAAGAGTTGAGAAAGAGGTAAATGARCAATCACATAAACTTCTTTTAATCTAGTACAATGATTCAATATATATTTTTCATTTAAATARGTTCGTGACACTAATAATGAGCCTACTCGCATAAGAATTTGGGAGATAACTCACTTGAGAAACGATGGAACGACGGTGAATGAAACTACACAAGAGAAATTGGTAAGTACATTATATGAATTTATATTTCTTAAGTTAAAATGATTCC